GTGTGTGTGTGTGTTTGTCTGCCCAAGGTTTCAAACATTGGGACAGCACAGCAGTGAGAATGTTATGAGAACCAATCTGTTGTTTACACTAAACTCGAAGGAAGCTAGACTGGAACATTTTAAATAAAATCAAAACACTTGCACATTAATTAAATACATTTCACATTTAGCTCGAGCTGGGTTCAATACTTTTCTTTATGGTATTTAAAAATTGGGCTCGAGTAGTTGAACCCCTGGATTGGCTTGCAACACAAAATGATACTGATTCTGTAGGACTGGAAGTGTTATGATTCAAAGTGCCTGTGAAAGAGAGGCCCTTGGAAAACAACACCTATTTTGTAACTGTAATTACTTATTTTAAAGAAATTGCAACATTATACTTTTAAAGAATTGCTCAATTAATTTAACACATTTATTATGCACACAATAAACACTTCAACAAATATATTGATCCTGGCTTAACCAGCAACCTTTACTCTATTGTTCATAAGCTCGGTTTCAGAAAACTTGTCAGTAGTTTAACAACTATTTTAATTTTAGTATCGTCTATAGAGACCAATTGGTTGATACTAGAAATAATTTGAAGCAGTTTAATAAATAATGTTAAACAATTTTTAAAACTGTAATTGAACTTCAACTTATATTAATTCTCTGATTCCAGTGGCCAGTTGGAACAGAATAATTAACACAGTTTCCATTTTGCTGCAACAGCGCAAAAGGTTTCAACAACAATTAGTATTATGTCTGAGTCTTGTTCTGCTTATCTGCTTTGTTTCGGAATGTGTTCAATACATTACGTTTTTATTCATTATTACTATACAATACATAGATTAAGAATAAATGAAACAAATAATACAACATTGACTTAAAACCAGATTTTGCAACCCTGATCTCCTCAGGCAAGTCTCTGAGGGTCTCGGGGCGCAGGACGGGGCATAGGGTTTATACAAGGTCACAAAGATATCTTAACATACCAGCAATACCATTTAAGAATGGATTCTTAAAGCAAATAATCTTCTTTCTTCTTACACCTAGCGCTCACCCTGAACAGGGCTTCTTGTTTACATTTTCCCCTGCACTCAGAGGCAGGACATAAAAACACTCTTTATTTTTCTCAGGTCATTTACTTTGGTGAGATAATTAAAGTTTAGTTCATTTTACCCTGTCTATGGACTGATTAATTATTAGTTGTTACGAAACATACACAAGACGGCGGGACAAACCAATATATACCCCCCATACAAACAATCAGACAAACAAAACATGAACTCTTAATAAACACCAGCGCGACAGCAAAGCTCTTCAGCTCAATTTAGTCCGGATTTTAGAGATCTTAGAGGGGGTGGGAATTCTCTCCAGTGCGGCGTCTTCTCACGCCTCACCCTTGCATACAAGTGATTTATCGGTGCCTGAAAGCCGTCCAAGAACGATAACTAGCTTATCCTCTTGCGACAACCACTAGGCTATTTGTTTCTAGTGGCGCTGTGCCCCCCCGATCGGAGCCCACAGACTTTTCCCTGCCCTTTCTCTCCAAACAACAGCTCAGTTGACTGTAGTCCGTACGACCAGCCTATATACACTTGCTATCGAGTTCACCTCAAGGTGAAACACAGTTTGCCTATGCTTGCTTGCCACTACACACCTCTGATCAATTAGCCTATAATTTTATGTATGCACTCCTGACCGCCACCTGCTCCAGAGAGCCGTAGCGCATCGGGTGATGCACGCACTTCGCGCTGGCCCGTCTAACCATGAGAAAAGCGGTCCTAAACAACGAGTGCTTTTAGACCGTCCCGTTTGAAGGACGGTGGTGCCGTGAGTTAAAACCTATAGGCAATAAGCTGTGACTTTCTCCCTCTCAGCCTGCACTGCTCCAGCCCCACACACACACGGGGAGGTTTTACACACACACGCAAGGCTGCAGCTGGAGCGTGTTTTTACAGAGAGGTGATAGCAGTGAATATCTCGGCTGCTTATTCTCAACTGCTATGTTTGGCCGCTAAGACCCTCAAAATCCGGCTATTTGTCCAATACAAATCTTTTACATTGCTTTCAATTCACACAGAAGCTCCACTTCACTGATGCCCTTTCTTTAAGGTATCTCTAAACATGAGCTGTGTATGCCTGTATGGCATTCCGTCCCGAGCAGCATACACAGAGGAAATAAGCCAGGACTGAGTCCCCAGACACTGATTCCCTGGGTTTATCATCCCCAAATGTTCATTAACCAAAAGGAAACGCAGCCGATCAGTTCACAGGTAATTTTAGGATACCGTCAATCACAGATTCTGATAAGGCAATGTCCAAAGTAGATTTGAAAATCACACTTACCAGCTCTGTAGATTTATTGGCATCCTGCCGACAACGCCAATTTGTAGAGGAAACTTCTGTGTAGCTATGCAGTGGGAGTCACCGACTCAGGAAGGAGACACGGGAAGAGCAGTAGCTTTGATGTCAAACACATGATGGTTATTTGGAGTTAACGGCCGGAGGATTCACATCACAAGTCCAAGAGTCAGAGGTTCTGACTTCACGGTAGAGTTGCCACGTCAATTCTGGAGAGCCTCTCTCTTGCCAGCCCATCTAACTGGTTTCGCAGAGAGTAAACAACATATTTGAGAAGATAGCCTATGACCTCGAAGATTTCACCTTGGAGTCCACAAATACAGAGAAGGAAGTGTCCCAGTGTACCCACAACACAGACCATCTGTGACCCAGTATTGACCGGTCACAGAATGGGAACAATAACATTATTGGCTAAGCAGCCTGTGTCCTTAAAGAAGGTAAACAGACATCAAGGTTTGTCCTGTATGTCACATCTTGGCGTCTATGATAATTATTTCCCTAACACTCTCCATCTCCTCCATCATCCCTCCTGTCTGTTTTTCCTCTCCCGCTACTCCATCGCTATCAGAAGCAGACGGCCTACTTGGCTCCGAGGCCCCGCGGCCGGCACCGCTGCCGCTCGGTACAGAACTCATCTGTCCTTCCTCCTCATCCTGGCCTACAGGTTTAAAACAACCTGTAAGTTTCGGTATTTTTTGTAATAGCTGCTTGTCTCAAAACTACTTTTCCCTCAACAATTTCCTTTTCCGAGTGCCACTCTCAAACTTTTTCTTCTCAAACTTTTTCTCCTAAACAACCTTCATCTGTCACTCAATCACTCGCAATTTCAATAAATCACATGTGAAACATATTCTCATTCTGATTGGCTGTTAGGTGGTGCCCACTGACTGTTTCGGAGTCATCATTTTTGAGAAAAATCTCTGGAATCCATCGATCTGATTGATTAGCGGAGCAAATTATCAAAATACTACGGAGGGAAGATATTTTCGTTTGGATTACTGGTCTGGGGGAAGCTCACAAGTGTGTGTGTGTGTGTGTGTGTTTGTGTATTTTTGCGTTTGTGTGTATTGTGTTTGTTTCCCGGGGAAAACACTCACGAGAAACACCGGCTGTTGTCATGCCTGCTGTTAGTATTATGCCGAAGCTTCAAAGTTGTATTTATCATCTGAATTTGCCGAAACAAGTTTAATATTCTGAAAGCCAAGACTTTGTTTATTTGAAACCAGATGAAAACAAACTGTCACGGACCCTGCCGTGTTATCTAAGATTACTATACGCCTTACATTCATAATTTCAGCGGGGGAGGGGAACAGCAGAACAGCAGAGTGGCGAGGGAGAGCTGTCTTCTTCCCTTTACAAGCTTCAAAAATGTATTTATCGTGTGATTTTGGAAATAAAAGTTTAATATTCTGAAAGCCAAGACTTTGTTTATTTAAAAAAAAATTAAAAACATCCGAAAAAAAAAAAAAATTGGCTCATGATAGGCCCCTGATCTCCGTAGGCCCCTGGGCTTCAGCCCAGGTCAGCCCGTGCATTAAGGCGGCCCTGCCAATGCCACAAAAATGCATCAGTGACGTGGTTGAAATCTTGTCTCCAGAAAACAAAAAACTGAAACAAGCGGTATCAGTGTGTTTGATGTGGCTCTTTGCAGTAACATAGAAAAATGTGGCTCTTAACCTCTGACTGGTTGGCCAACCCTGGGCTAGAGTATCGTTAGTATAGTATAGTAATAGTAGTAGTAGTAGTAATAGTATATTTTTTAGGCTAGAGTCTAGCCTCTAGGGGCAAAACAATTACCTTCATTTTAAAATTCCTTTGCTTCTAGCACTCCTAAAAAACAGGAAAAGGGTAGCAAAATAAAGATCTGGTTAAATTTAAAAGGTCACCCAGAACATACTGTAGGCGATTTCAAGCCATTACAGTTAAAAAAAAACCCTGATCCATTACGCATACACATAAATCCAGTAGAGACTTAAACTCACAGTGATTGTGCAGTATTGCCCTCTAGAGAAGAACAACATCTAGTTAGATTCTGTCTTTACATCCATTACAAAATGTCATTGTGGAAGCCGTGGCGCTGTAAAAAGCACGACCAATCATCTGAGCCGGCCCGGCAAAAATAACTGGATGGCCTACCTGCCTGTCAGCCTTCCATCTGTGCACAAACTTATCTTGTGCCCTCATTGGTCATGTGCGCGTTCGTGTGTGTTGGAGGAGGGGCTCTGTGAGGAAGTGGCAGATTTTTTCCGGCTGTGTATTTTCAAATTCTAGCACATTCTAGCTGGTTTCTCCAAAATTACCTACCCCACCTTTAACAGCTATTAGATCTGGTTAAAAAAAAAAAAGATTCGTTAAATATAGAAATAGTTTCCAGAAGAGTCTCAGTGTGATGTGCAGTTTTAGCCACTAGGGGCAAAAAAATAACCTTAATTTAAAAAAAACTAAAACAATTCCTTAGCTTCTATCACCCCTAAATAACAGGAACATTTCAGGATATATATTTAAACAGTTAACATTTATTAGATCTGTTTAAACATTAACCTGTTACGGGGCCGGCCACACTACAAGCGTAAAATTCGCTTCCAACGCCCCAAGATTTACGCTTGGGGCGTTTCTTCGAGCCCCGCGACCAACAACCAATCAGAATCTCCATGTGAATCTCCCGCCCGGACATACAAAGTGAAAACACCGGTTCTTCTCCACTATTGCCTAAAATGGATGCCGGTGTTGTAGCAAGGGTAAGCAGGGTAACTCGTGTGTGTGCAAGGTTGCATTTAGTGTATACATGGTCTCGCATGAGGCCGTGTAGTGTGCGTCGCTTCTGGGTACACCCGATACTCCGAAAGCGTCTTACAAAGGGGGGAATACCACCTTCTCGTCCAGGAGCTCCGTCTCGATGACCGCCTTTTTCAGAGGGTACTTCAGGATGAGCAAGGAGGTGTTCGACGAGTTGCTCGGAAAGGTGGGCCCACTGATTACAAAGGTGGACACCCATCTGCGTATGTCAATTGGCCCCGCCGAGCGACTCGCCATCTGCCTACGGTACGTTTTGTGTATTTCTACTTCTTTAATCTGACTCTGTATAGAAGGAGAGAGAATGCACGAATGATGACTGAAGTCTGTGATTTAGTTCAGATGGGTAACATTAATTAAGATATCTAGGTAAACACAGTATTGCTCCCCTGTGTACATGGCGTGTGTGTCTGTGTCTGTGATCAATGTGTGTGTGGGGATCTGTGTGTCTGTCTGTGTTCAATCTGTGTGTCTGTGTTCAATGTGTGTGTCTGTTCAATGTGTGTGTGTCTGTGTTTCAATCTGTGTGTCTGTGTTCAATGTGTGTGTGTCTGTGTTCAATGTGTGTGTCTGTTCAATGTGTGTTGTCTGTGTTCAATGTGTGTTCAATCTGTGTCTGTGTTCAATGTGTGTGTCTGTGTTCAATGTGTGGAGGGGGGGATCTGTGGTCTGTGTGTGTGTGGGGTCTGAATAAATATATTTTGTAATCATGTATATATCTTTTTTTCTCAGGTACCTGGCAACTGGTGACTCGTACGCGACGATAGCCTTCAGCTATCGGGTCGGCGTTCTACAGTGGCAGTCATTGTCAAGGAGGTTGCGGGGGCCATCTGGACCGCCCTGGTCGAGGAGTGCATGCCGGTACCACAGGTGGAGGATTGGAGAGCCATCGCTGCTGGGTTCCAGGAGCGCTGGGAGTTTCCCAACTGTGTTGGTGCCATAGATGGGAAGCACGTCGTTATCCAGGCTCCAGCAAATGCAGGTTCCCTCTACTTTAATTATAAGTCCACCCACTCCTTGGTACTGCTGGCTGTGGTGGATGCTGAGTACCTGTTCAGGGTAGTGGATGTTGGAGGCTTTGGGAGGAGCAGCGACAGTGGGAGCCTGCGGAATTTTGCATTTGGAGAGAGCCTCCGAGACGGCAGTCTGCAGCTACCACCTGACACCGTCATCGCAGGATCAGAGCGGCGGGGCCCTCTCCCCCATGTCTTCGTTGGAGATGAGGCATTTCCGCTGCTGGACAACCTTCTGCGTCCATTCCCTGGACGTCACCTCACCCGTGAAAGGAGGGTTATTTAACTACCGCCTCAGCCGTGCCAGGTTGGTGGTTGAATGTGCGTTTGGCATCCTCTCAACCCAGTGGAGAATGCTCAGGCGGTGTCATCACCACCAGCCCCGAGGTGACGGAGTTGTGTGTGAAGGCTGCTGTGTGTTGCATAACTTCCTCCGCAGGAAGACCATTGATATGCCATCACGCACACCTATCGCAAGGTCCACGGATGAAGTTACTCCAACCCCTGTGTGATGCACCGAGGATGGGCTCCAACAATGCCACACGGCGATCCATCCAACAGCGGGAGACCTTCTGCTCCTACTTCAACGAGGAGGGGGCAGTGCGATGGCAGGCAAATGTGGTGTAGGCCCATATTTGTCTCCAAACCAAAAAGCTCTTTAAGAGCTACCCATTTTCTTTAAAAAGCAAATATTCCAATGAGCCATTTTAAAATCAACCATTCCTATAAACATGTTTCTTGAATTGATATCATGATATAACTAACAACCTTTTTCCTTCAGCCCTGTTTTTAGTGATAAACTACTCATAATTTTCATCAGGGTTTCACCTGAATAATTACAGAAGACAGCACATTATATATCGACATACAAGAAGCTCCTGGTATGTTGTAACTGACAAACCACATGAACAAGTCAAGACACAGTATAGCCATAACATACTTTTAAATAACTTTTATTTATGTGATGTTGTGTGTGATGAGTGATGAGTGTAAAAAGATGTAATGTGGATCAGTATCAGTATCAGTATCTAATTAATTAATTAATTATTAATGTCCATTTCTGTGGCCTCCAGGACCGCCTCTTGTAGCTTCATTTTCAGTCTCATGCTGCTCGTCCTGCTCAGCTTTTGCATTGCAGGCCAGAGACTCCTTAAAAAAAGGAGGTCCTCGTCTTCCACCTCCACCACTGGTGGTGGCATGGCCAGCATCGGGCCTACGGCCGACAGCAGGTTCTCCTCAAAGGGGACATCTCCCTTCCCCCTGCTCTTCTTCCCCCGGAATGCTGGCACACTGGCCGGCACACCGTCTGGCACACCGTCTGGCACACTGGCCGGCACACTGGCCGGCTGACTGGCCGGCTGACTGCTACCTGGCTCTGGCTGGCTTTCCAGACTGTCATCCAGGCTGTCACCCATAGAGTCTTCCTCTTCTTCTGCTCCGGTGGGTGGAGGCAGGGGTTGCCGGGGGAAATTGCTGGACGTCTCACGGTCCAGCATGAAGGGCTTTAAAAAGCTCATTACTGCCGCGAGACGCCAGGGCTTAGATCCCCCGGAAGCCCCTGCCCCGCTACTTTTCCCTTCCTTCTCCAGGATCCTCTCCCTGCGGTATCGGTCCCTGAGGGACTTCCAACGCTTTTTGCACACTTCGTCTAATAAATGAAAATGAAAATGAAAGAATACAGTTAATTTCTTGAATTTCAGAAAATGATTGCTCCATTAATGAAAACCAAATCCCTTTCAATTGCATACAAGGTTTTACATGTCACACTTTATCAGAATCAAAAACAGGTTTATTGCCAGGTAGCTTTGCACATACTAGGAATTTGACTTGATGTCATGGTGCATATATACAAAACAAGAAATCTAATATAAAACACAACATGTATTGTACAGTTAAATTGCAAAAAGATAAAAATTAAATAAAGCAGTAATTTACATGGAAATAGAATGCTAGGAATGAATTTTTGCATATATATATATAACTAAGAAATGTGAAAGGAGTATGACATTGTGTGCATTAATGTAATGCAATATAGTCTATGATGTGGCAGCGGATGATTAACATGTATGTGATTAATGTCTATGGCGCTATTTTATGCTAAATATACCGGCTATGTTTCATTAGCTATGTTAACATGAAGTAAACTGGATATAAAATCCCCAAACAGGCGAAAAACCTACCAGTTTCCCCCACTGTCTCTGCCACCTCCTTCCATGCCTGGTTCCTCTGGTTTCTATCCCGGTAGGTGAACAGGGTCACATCAAATAATACAGGGTGATTCGCTACCGCTATCTCTCCCAGCGTATGCGCGGTTTTTGATTGGCTACGGCTTGAGCTGTCAGATTTTCTGAAACGGGATTTGATTGGCTTACGCTCACTTGTCAGGAACCGAGAGAGCGTTTAGTGCGTAAAAAGTTCAACATTGTTCAACTTTTTACGCGCGAGACGCTCTCAAAGTTACGCTTGCCTTCCCGTGATGCAGTTCGGCGAAAACGTGAGCGGACGTGACGTCACCCCCATTCAAAGTGAATGGGCAGACGCGCTAGAGGCGTAATTTTACGCCTGAAACGCTTGTAGTGTGGAGGGCCCGTTAAGCAACATTTTCACAAAACTGTGTCTCAGGGCTTCTTAACATTTGACAACCTATTAATGTGTCATACCCACTTAACGGGAAGACACTCAGCTAACTGACGATATGAACCATTTCTACCGAAACAAAACACAACTCTAACACCAAGCGTATGAATTAGCACTAAGCGAAAGAGTGCTAACGCACTTAACTCACGGTAGAAATATGTTATACTTCATCGAATCTGCACAAACATATCATAAGCTGAGATTCCACAGATTCCAATGATATAAGTATCATCACTGTGTATGAGAGCTTCCGGTTTTGGACATGCTGGCTGCGCATCACTCTCATTCACCAATGGTAATGTTAAGATGGATTTAGGAACTTTCTCTCGATTCTATTGGCTCTAACGGTTCAAAAGAGGTGTCAATCACCAACATCGACCAATGGGTTCCAGAGATATGGCAAATACACCCAAATGACCCCATACTGTAGTTGGGTTTTCTTTTTCTAAATCTCTCTAAAAAGGTCAAATTTCACTTGTTTTGCATCAATCTTGATACAGGGTACTTATTATATGTTATAGTCTGGATTCCTAAAGCTTTTTTGTCTCCAATCCCATAATTCAAGGGTGGTTTTCACCCCCTTCTACCTCACACAATTACTGCAACTCAGCACACCCCCGAAGCACAACACCCGGTCAACTACAAGCATCCTATTAAGCCCCTGTCAGACTGTCCCGAAATGTACACCCGATGGACACACGAATATTGAATTGTGAATTTCGCACGAAGATGGCCCCGAACCACACACAAAGGCAACATTTACATTACATTTAAGACATACAACTGCAACGAAAGTAACACAAACAATTATGTTACAGTACTATGATACTGTACTGATATCTTCAGACTTTGTTCTTTACTTTCTCCGTCTTTATATGTAGAAGATATTACGTTTTCTCCGTCATGTTGTTGTTTCCATAGCAACAACAACTTCCTGTCAACTCGCCTTCAAAATAATATATTCTATCCTTTTCAGTTTCACAGAACACAAATTGGGTTATTTACATAATATATTTACATCATTTTGTTGTGCAATAAAACAACCAGATGGACACAGGATAAAGGAAATGTTCAAATTCGGCTCTGATCGTAGCAACATCGGGCCATTCGTGAGGGCATCTTAAGCCTTCGTATGACCGCCGGTGGAGTTTCTCAGGCTCCGGTGTTACCGTTTAACTGGTTACACCGGGGAACTCGTTACGTTACGTTAACGGTAGGAATGGGGCGTGTACTTTGAGGAGCCATTGTCGAATAACCAGGAAATACACATTTCGATCGCTTCTTTTGTTGTTTACATTTATCTTTTGGTATATTTGGCTCCATGGGAACACTTTGATGCACATTCAGTACCAGTGTGTGAGGTTGTGGTTGGGATGCCGATATCCGTACGCGTAGCTACAGCGAGGACTACAAAATGACAATGAGGTGACTGGGGATGTCTGTTCAAAACATTGCAAACGTGAATAAATCATTTCAAATATGTATTTGTCTCCGACTTTCATTTGTACATCGTTGTTAATGTGATGTTTAGTAGCTTTGATAGCTGTCCATACCTCCAGACAGCCTAAAAATAAGACACAAGTTGTTTAC